ACCTGCCTAGGTTAATATGCAAGGCAGTGGGGCTGTGGTTGGTAGGCGCCAGGATGTGTCCACATGCCAGTGGGTCAATGCGCTGTCCCTCTGTGGCCCACTCTTCCTCAGACATCCCCTGCTGGTCTAGCCTGGGCCCACCGCGTGTTGCCAAGGGGAGGAACAGCAAGTATGGTGAAGAGGCTGTGTATTGTCAGGGGAAGACTTATGCAAGTTGCTTCCCTGTTCGCCACGAGGGCTAGCAAGCAGCGGTAGCTGAAAGCGAAAGGAAGCAAGCAGTGCTTGCACCCTTGTACTAACATAATGCTGCCACACTAAACGCATCACACCACCCTGTACACACACACACACACACACACACACACATATATAAGTTAAGTTATGTAGAGGTGTCTATGGTGGGCAACAACAGCTATCAGTATTATATAAGACACTTCTATGAGCGCGGGTGAGTAGGGGTATATAAGATGGTAGACGACAACTCACAACCACCATCACTATGAAGGTCCTCGTGTTGTGCACACTGGTGGCTGCAGCTGCTGCCTGGCCAAGCTTTGGCCAGGAAAACCTGCTGGAAAGCTTCCAGAATGATGACCCGGGTGAGTACCACTTGTACTAATATGAACTCATTATAAAATATGATTTGTTCGATTAATGAAACTCTCACACGTTTACCTCACAAAATTATTTATAAAGACAAACATCAACATATACCTGTAGGTACCTGTTGACACAAACACACATTTTATATATATATATATATATATATATATATATATATATATATATATATATATATATATATATATATATATATATATATATTTCAATAGCCCATAAAGCGTGCGGACTTCTATATGTAATCAACAACCTCATCCCGCCAGGATTCGAACCCACGATCTTATGTGCGTGACCGGGGAACGCTATCTCTAGACCACCAGGACACTAAAAGCATTCCTAGACATTGTTATATTTTACACAAAGCCTGTTCATCGAGCTTATGGCGCCATGAACCTCCAATTGGGGAATACCCGTGCCTCTTAGGTGATCAGAGTAACGTTTTACCAAAGGTAGCATTCCTCAGTCACACACACATAAGATCGTGGTGGGGTGAGGTTGTTGATTATATGTAGACGTCCGCGTGCTTCATGGGCTAATGAAATATATATGGAACCTCGTGTTTCGAAGCCGGATTTGGTAAAACGAAGCACCTTAGCTTTCGACTTTATTCAAAACATCTCCAGAGGCAACTGAATTACATGGTGAGAGAAAGGCTTAAGTACACAGGGTGACCTTAGTAAACATGAGTTCAGGTCATAAACATGACATCCACTAATCCGCACACCACCACAACCACACACGCAAATGTGCTTAAGAGAAAGGGCGACGTGACTAGTCAAGTTTAGTCAGGTGAAAAAAAAAAAAATATATATATATATATATATATATATATATATATATATATATATATATATATATATATATATATATATATATATATATATTTATTTATTTATTTATTTATTTATTTATTTATTTATTTATTTATTTATATATTTATATATATATATATATATATATAATTTTTTTTTTCGGGGAATAGCCCTTCAAACAAAATAACAAACAAAATACATTAGGATATTCCCACTAAGGCATTCACACTCTGATGTGCATTATGAGCATAATTATTGACGCAGTGCATAACTAAAGTTACTTTTCCACATGTTTCATTTCATGTAAATTTCCATTTATTGTAGGAGTGAGTCAGGCCAAGAAGCAGCAGGATGTCAACCACCTGGTGGACAGGATATACGAACGTATTCGCTATCCTGACTTACAGGATATCGCAAACGCATTCAACCCTGAGGCTGACACTTCCATGTATAGTGATGATGGCCAAGCCGTTCATCACCTTATGAATGATATGAATGATCACATGCTCTTGGAGAGGCACCATTTGTTCTCCCTTTTCAACTCACGTCATCGCAGAGAGGCTCTCATGCTCTTCGATGTTTTCATGCACTGCAAGACGTGGACCTGCTTTGTCAATAATGCCGCATACTTCCGTGAGCACATGAATGAGGGAGAGTTCCTTTACGCATTCTACACAGCTGTTGTCCACTCTGATCTGGGAACCGGAGTAGTTCTGCCTCCACTCTACGAAATCACTCCTCACATGTTCACCAACAGCGAAATCATCCACAAGGCCTACACTGCCAAGATGACCCAGACACCAGGCAGGTTTCAGATGAAATTTACAGGAACGAAAAAGAACAAGGAACAAAGAGTGGCCTACTTCGGTGAGGACATTGGCATGAACATTCACCACGTTACTTGGCATATGGACTTCCCTTTCTGGTGGGAGGACTCCTACGGCTACCATCTCGATCGCAAGGGCGAGCTATTCTTCTGGGTCCATCATCAACTTACTGCACGCTTTGACGCTGAGCGTCTTTCTAACTGGCTGGATGTGGTTGACGAGCTACACTGGGAGCGTATTATTCGTGAAGGTTTTGCACCACATACCAGCTACAAGTATGGTGGTGAGTTCCCTGCACGTCCTGACAACGTTCACTTTGAGGATGTGGACGGTGTAGCTCGTGTGCGTGACATGATTATTTCTGAGAGCCGCATTCGCGACGCTATAGCTCACGGCTACGTTACTGACAAGGATGGTAACAACATCGATATCCTGAACGATCACGGCATTGACGTCCTCGGAGACATCATTGAATCATCTATGTACAGCCCCAACGCCCAGTATTATGGTGCACTGCACAACACAGCTCACATAATGCTTGGCCGACAAGGTGATCCCCATGGCAAATTCAACATGCCTCCCGGTGTGATGGAACACTTTGAGACTGCCACCCGCGACCCAAGTTTTTTCCGACTTCACAAATACATGGATAACATCTTCAAGGAACACAAAAACTCACTTCCTATTTATACTAGGGAAGATTTAGAGTTTACAGGTGTGGCTGTCGACGATATTGCCATTGAAGGAGAGCTTAAAACTTACTTTGAGCAATTTGAATTCAGTATCGCCAATGCTGTAGACAAATCTGATGCGGTAGAAGAAGTGGCAATCTCCACTCTCATTCCCCGCCTGAACCATCATGAGTTTACCTATAAAATTGACGTCAACAATAACAATGATGAAGATGTTCTAGCGACCATGCGCATTTATTTGTGCCCTAAGAATGATGCTAATGGAATAGAATTTACCTGGGATGAGGGACGATGGTACTGCATTGAAATGGACAAATTCTGGAAAAAGTGTAAGTATACTACAGCAATTTTCTTTTTGCCTCCATCATAGGTCACATTATATATATATATATATATATATATATATATATATATATATATATATATATATATATATATATATATATATATATATATATTAATTTGTTATATTTCCAGCTATTACAATTAAGTCGTACATTACCTAATGTTATTTATTGGAAGGAATTGATTTATAGGGAATAAAACTTTTATTACTGATATACAAATTAATTATATTTTTCTTTACAACAGTGGCCCCTGGAAAAACTAATGTAATGCGCAAGTCTTCCGATTCATCAGTCACAACACCTGATAGTCCAAGTTTACACACTCTAATGGAAAAGGCGGATGAAGCCCTCATCAGTGGCGACGAACTCGACCTACATCAATTTGAACGCTCATGTGGCCTCCCTCATAGAATGCTCCTGCCCAAGGGTCAAACCAACGGCATGGAGTTTTTGTTGCTGGTGGCTGTGACCAATGGTGAGGAAGATAAAGTCATAGAACATTCGGAAGACAACGAGCACGGTGGCACCCACTCTCAGTGCGGCATCCGTGGCGAAAAATATCCAGACAAGAAGCCCATGGGCTACCCACTGGATCGTCACATTCCCGACAAGCGCCTCATCTTAGACATTCCTAATATCAAGACAACAACTGTGAAGGTCTTCCATGAACTTCACCATGAAGATCACTAGATAAAACAATATTAAGATATCTGTTTTGATGTATTTCACGAAGAACCTTATCTTTAAGATCTTTAATATGTATATACAGTACATGTATTCTTAGTACAGTATGAAAAAAATGAAAAATACTTCAAATTATTTGTTTCAATGAAAATACAATTTCATTGGAATATCCATTTTCATGCAAAAATCAATGTGTTTATCTAATCATTATTATTATTTTTTTCATTTCATTCAAACAACAAACTTGTCAAAATTCAGCAGCAATTCAGTCTTGTTTTACTTCAAAATACAATACATGAAACTATTCATTCTCTTTTATGAACATTATTAATTTTTATGATTACCATTGAGAGAGTTGCCAATGTTAGTAAATCATACAGGTAAGCTGATGTGGGTATAAAATGCTTTATGCATGTATAGTGATCATTAATAGTTCTATTAATAATTGTTACAGAAATTCATGGATGTTTATTTGGGCAAGAAAATCAATATGAGTTTTGCAACTTACTGTCAATTAAGAAGGTATAGAATGTGAATATACAGAATAAATCTGTTGAAAATTTTAACTCCTATTTATTTTGAGTAAACAAGTATAAGATATTAAATTATTAAATATTCTATGAGAAATCGTATTTTATTATTAAAGGAAATGAAATGAAACAATTAACGAAAAATACAATCGTTAGTTCACGGGCAAATAATCGTGGTGCTTTGATTATTTAATCATCTTATTTCTTAATTAACCCCCGACCCCTTAGTTAAAATTAGGAAAGAAAATTACTACGACTTTTCTAAGGTAATCATTCGGTGGATCTACAATGCATGTCACCGCAACATACACTGCACCCCAACACATAAAGCACTCCAACGCACATAATGCCTTAAACACACATATTACTCTAACACACATAATACGGTAACAGTACTCTGGCCCACACGATAATCCAACACACACACACAGTACTCCAACACAAATGGTACAATTCACTCGATACTCCAACACTTTCGGTAATGCAAAACGCGAACAAGCGTTGACAATCTAAAATACTTGATAAATTAACGTATACCCACTAAAAACTTACTCGGCACCCGTGTCATATTGTATCACGCCATAAGGGTGCCGAATAATTTTTTAGTGGGTGTGCATGGTACTCCAAAATACAGTACTCCAACACACACACGGTACTCCAGCACGCATAGTACTCCAAAACAAATGGTAATATAACACACAATATTCCAATTAACTTTAATGGAACTAAATAAGGATTTCCACATTACTAAAGAACAAAGATGATTAGAGTATCTATCTAAAATGAATGATCTTTTATGTGATGTTGCAACATATTCTAAGCTCATATCCCCTCAACACAGTTAACACTCAGTTTAAGCAAAAAACTTAAGCCTGTTGTGAGGCGAAAATAATCTTATCAAACACTTTCTTCAATTTACGGCCTTATTAACACTCACAAGCCGAATAACCCACAGAGACCCATTACTAGCTCAGTTAGGTCAATCACTTTTAAGCTTTCTAGTTGGCAACATATTAAAGTCTAATAATAAGTATAATGTGGATCTAGTTGATAAACATAATGAGTTACACAAGTCATTAATTATGATTTTAAACTGGTTGCTTTTGATGTAACATCACTCTTTACAAAGGTCTCAGTTGATGATTTGCTTCAGTTCCTCACAGATTTCCCGGAAAATATTTCCTTGGCTGTCTCAAACAATGTGTTTACTGAACTCATCAAACTATGCATTAAGGACTGCGGATTTCAATGAAATAGAGAATATTATGCTAAAAAAATTGACATGGCGATGAGTAATCCGCTTCACCAGCATTGAGCAACTTATAAATGATAATTCTTTTTCAGATGAAATTAATTATTAATATTTACCTCCTGTACTTTGGTTTAGATATGTAGATGATGTAATATGTCTTTAGCCAGGTAGTGAAAATTTAGAATTTCATGCAACGAATGTAATATGTTCTACTTAGGTCAAACGGGCAAATATCTTATAACTAGACTTAAATAGCATAAATATAGTGTTAGGACAGGCCACGATTCCAATGCTAAAGTTTAGGCCTCCCTAATCTTGACTTGTAATTCAATAGTCAGTAGAATCATTATAGAATCTAGTCTCATTAGACACACCGAATCTGACAACATGAATTTGAGTACAGTAATGGCATGTACAAATTGGATAATTTTGTCATTAAGAAGATTTGTAACCAGTTTATGGGGTTGGTTAATTACATAATGACCTGAAGATGGTGGACACCTGCTGTCACCATTGGGACTTGATCTCACTCTCCTTTACTGTATATATTGGTCTTGTTATAAACTACTTTTTAGTGTCTACTCATCCCTGACGACGTGAATTACACGAAAGCGTTTGGGAAGTTCGTGTTTTCTTTTTTCCTGTGTAGTTACCGAAATCACCAATATTATTCACCCGTAAACTACTGACTATATTTCCCTATAATTGTTTCACTTCATTTGTTTTAATAATACAATAAGTGCTCTTACGGTATTAAATTATTAAATACGTTATGCTCGTCTTTTCAAACGACATATGAGCTTAATTTTTCCATAGATTTATTGTGTATTTTAACATTCTAGACATTCTAAATTGGTGGTAAGTTCCAAACTCATTAATCGGTTATTTACTGAAATAGAGTAACCATAAATATATATACCAATTATTGGGTTACTTTGGTTTTCTAAATTAAAAGAAAAAACATTTAAAATAGTTGGGTATACGAGTACTTGTTGCTAAACACGTGTTCATCACAGGTATGGTGGTCAACATCTATGACACATAACGCGGAAGGTGAGCAATGAAGGTCACCTAAACACATTGTTTTATAAGAACATAAGAACATAAGAATGGAGGAAACTGCAGCGGGCCTATTGGCCCATACTGGGCAGTCCCGATTACACCCAACCCCTATTGCTCATATGAGCATCAAACCTATGTTTGAAGCAATTCAGCGTATTCGAGTTAATGATGATATTTGGTAACTTGTTCCATTCATCCACTACTCTGTTTCCAAACCAGTGTTTACCTATTTCACGCCTAAATCTAAATTTGTCTAATTTAAAACCATTGTTACGAGTTCGCTCCTGGTTGGATAATTTGAGTACCTAATGTCCCCTTTGTTTAGCCCTGCCTTCCACTTATACACCTCTATCAGGTCGCCCCTCGCTCTACGTCTCTCAAGGGAGTGCAAATTAAGATGCTTTAACCTGTCTCTATACTCAAGGTTCCTAATGCCCGGGATTAGTCTTGTCATTCTCCTCTGAATTCTTTCCAAGGATTCTATATCCATTCTGTAATACGGTGACCAGAACTGAACTGCGTAATCCAGGTGTGGTCTCACAAGAGCAAGATACAGTTTTAGGATGACCTCGCTAGTCTTGTAACTAACACTCCTTTGTATGAACCCAAGAACTTTATTAGCCTTGTTACGAGCAAAAACACATTGTTTACTTGGCTTAAGGTTCCTACTTATCATTACTCCTAAATCTCTCTTGCAGTCGGATTTCTCTATGGCATCGTTGTTCATCTGGTATCTGGTTTCCCTGTTTACATCTCCTATACTGAGTACTTTACATTTGTCGACGCTGAATTTCATCTGCCATTTTTCAGACCATTCGAAAAATTTGTTTAGATCTTCCTGTAGTTTTGCCGAGTCCTCGTCAGATTTGATAACACGTCCTATTTTAGTGTCATCAGCAAATTTACTTATGTTGCTGTCTATGCCGATATCTATGTCGTTTATGTATATAATAAATAATAATGGTCCAAGTACTGAGCCTTGGGGGAACTCCACTTGTGACGTTGCTCCAATGGGACTTAGTGCCGTTAATGCTCACTCGCTGTTTCCTGTCCTGTAACCACGCCCTAATTCATTTAAGGATGTCACCTTTGATGCCATGAGCTTCTACCTTTCTAATTAGTCTTTCGTGGGGGACTGTGTCGAAGGCTTTGCTAAAGTCGAGATATACCACATCATAATTGTGCCCCTCGTCCACCGATTCGAAAACTGATGAAAAGAATGTAAATAGATTAGTTAGGCAAGAACGTCCGCTTGTGAAGCCATGCTGGGAATCATTGATCAATGGGTGCTTCTCCAGGTGATTTCGAATAGAGTTTGAAATGATTGCTTCCAGTAATTTGCCTACTATTGATGTTAGACTGATTGGGCGGTAGTTAGAGGATAGTGATCTATCCCCTTCTTGAAAATCGGTATTACATTCGCTATCCTCCAGGATTCTGGTACTACACCTGTTTTTAAGGACATGTTAAACAACTTTGCTAAGGGCATACTAAGCTCTTCCTTACATTCCTTTAATACTCTGGCAAATATCTCATCGGGACCAGGTGACTTATTAGGCTTTAGTTTGTCTATTTGCTTACTAACATCGTTACTAGTCACTACTATCTCGCTTAATTTGTTTTCTTCACTATCTCTGAATAGAGTCGGTGCCTCGGGTATCATGTTTAAATTTTCGGTGGTGAAAACTGTTGAAAAATATTTATTCAAATTATTGCTCATTTCTCCGTCGTTATCAGTGAGCTCGCCGAGTCTGACCGTATTGGTCCAATCTTTTCTCGTGTTTTAGTTTGATACATTTGGTAGAATCCTTTGGGGTCTTCGCCTCCTTGCATATCCTTACTCATTATTCCTTTGCTTTCCTTATCTCGGTTTTAACCCCACTCGCCAATACCCTATAATAGTCCCGGAGGTGAATTTCGCCACGATTTATCCTTCTACCTATAGCCTTCCTTTGGCCAATGATGTTCTTTAAATAAGTATTTATCCATTTAGGGTCATTGTTGTCTGATCTGAGTTTTTGTATGGTATGTTCTGCCTTGTGCATTAAGTAACTCACTATTTAAATTGTCGTGGAACTCGGCAATCTCAGATCTCGTTATCAGGTCGGTGTCATCTGTCAGGTTCACGGCCAAGCGCGACACCCCCTCTCTCAGCTGCCTCTTTAAACTGTCAAAGTTTGCCCTTCTGAAATCTGGTACTTTAGTGGAATTTTCCTTACGTCTGCCCTGAAAATCTAACTGGAATCGAATTTCTTTGTGATCTCTGTTTGCAAGTTCGTTGCCTACCTCGACATTGCTAATGAGGTTTTCTCTGTTCGACAGAACTAAATCCAGTATATTATTACCCCGTGTGGGTTCGGTTATATGTTGACTTAGGAAACAGTCCTGGATCGTCTCGAGAAAATCCTCTGATTCTGAGTTACCCGTAAGGTCAGTCCAATCTATTTGGCCAAGGTTAAAGTCGCCTACTATACAGACTTTGTTGTGTATGGAAGCCCTGCGCATTTCATCCCAGATAAGTCGCTCATTGATTCAATACACGTTGGTACACCGGGAAGAAAATCCTCTTCTTTGCTGATGGTAGTCTGTCATGATGCTTATGGTTTTTCATTCATTTCAGTGTTCAAGAATTTTTACATACATTGCCCATAGGCTTACAATATCTTAGTACCTGTATAATACTCCATAATGAAAATAATTTACATGTGATACTATTTCTGTT